CAAGAAATTAGATGTGGTTTCACAGTAACTACGGTCCTCAACAATGCAGTATTTTACAGTGAAAACATCACAATATTTTCATGAAAGTATTCAACTCATTTGAAATCTCTAAAACAAGCACCAGAGAAAGCTACACAGTGCTGAACTCAAACCCTTCCAAAGCATTCAGTGTCATGGACTTAGCTGAACCTTATACTTTAGGATATCAGAAACACTTACAAGTTTTTCATGGACAGTTTTCCAAATAACTTCTGGCTTAATTCTGGATTGCTAGCATTGTTGTAGACCAGGTTTTCTTAATGTAAAAATTAGGCTACATAAAGAGTTCAGTACTACAAAAATCTGAACATTTAAGCGTATGAATTTTCTCCTTCTTTACCCCGGCAGCACACCAGAGCCTCAAGACGTTATACCCAGTTAGGCCTTTTCCATTTGCATTTGTATTGCACGAGGACATAAACAGGTGTCTTGAAAAAAACTAGAACTGTCCTAGTTGCTCTGAAACTCAAGAAGTCATTCATATAGCTTAATCCAAGTTCTCTGTTCTAAATAGAGCAATGCGAGTGCCTTTACTAAACGAAGTGTTATTCCTTATACCATTTGATCACTTGGGAACAGTCATCCTCAGTTCACTTTTTGCAGCTCTTGTTTATCCTTGTGGCACACAATCTCCCCAGTTCACGCACTGGCCATGTCCCAGCTACGTCCCTCATAGTCCTGATCACTCGGTCTGAAGACCTAAATGGACCCCATGTCCTTCCCTTCCAACTTCCTTTCAGTGGAAAAGAGGTACAAGTTGGATGGGGTGCACACAGAGCCTGCTCCAGCATGCTGCATGAACAAGTAGAACGAAGCTTACCTAAAGTGCTCCTCTGTGCTACAAGAATGAACTTCACCTGAAGTACCTGCACGGTTTAAATCTTTATTTCAAAAAACTACTATGAGGCTTTGGTAGCTCCCTCACGTACCAGTAGACTATTTAGGCTACATATTTCTTTTTGAAGTCACCAAATGATTCTAAATAGGGCACATTCAATCATCTAAAGATGAACAAAAATTCCACTCAGTAGACATACTAGAAATAAAATGGTGGTTTACTCTGTTCCTGAATGGAGAACTTCTCAGTCAGCTTAAGCAGGGAAGAGAGGAGAGGGTCGGAGGGGGGTCGGGTCAGAAAGGGTAAGGGAATCATGTCTGATTTGGGAAATTTCATTAACTTCAGCTGTGCAAAAGAGTAATTTATAAGAAGGGAAAGCTCCTCAGCAGCTGATAAAAGGGCAGGCAGGATGAAGTTTAAAAAAAGGCTAGCAAAAATCTAGCAAAAGTCTAGCTGGTCTTTCCCACCTATGAATTAAAGATTTTCTTGTGTAACCATCAATGAAACACATAAGATTGGTGGTCAAATTACAGACTTTCTTCCCCTCCCCACTATTAAAATGGGTTCTTAAAGTATGAGATTTACTTTGTTAGTCAATTTAAAATCTCTTAATCTTAATTATCTGTATGGAATATCTAAAATTTGCTTTCATTACATGACAGTCTACCTTATGCTTTTATTTTTAAGTCATTGAGAAGCACACAACTAGCTCCGTCTGATTATTTATTCTTGCAATTTAACACATTTTTATATTGCTAAAATTGGCATTTGTGTTGCTTGTAAACAAGCTGGGCTTTGATTGGACATCTCAGCTCCGCTGGCCCCACTTTTCATGTCAAGATGAACTGCATAATAATTGTTTCAGCAGTTTTCTTGCAATTTTTTTTCCGTTTCTCCCAAGTAACCGTAAAGATAAAGTTATTTTAAGTACAAGCACTGAGGAAACTTGGGGTCTGCAATTGCAGAAATGGCATAGGGAGAGGGGGGGAAGGACCCTGGGTAACTTATGCAAGTTTCACAACTTTCTTCAATTAGACTGAAAAAAACATTACAGCTGCCAGTAACTTGGCAACGTCACTTATTAAGAGTTCTGTAGATCTGATGAGGAACATCATATTGTTGGCGGCTTCCAATAAAATGCTAATCACTGGACTAGACTCAGTTGGTAGCTGACACAGTGAGATCCTGTTCAGTAATTTTGTCACAGAAAGTGCACAGCCCAGAAAAATACTCAAACAAGTATCCTACTCACTGTTCTGCAGTAGATCTCTCTGATAGTGAGGAAACTCTACTCTACATCTGAAATCACTGTCTCCAGTTCGAACGTTCATAAAAATATTTCCCACAAAACTCACTTTAAGCACGAGGTTTCTTTACTGAAAAGCCACTTCGTAAGAAAACTCACAATTGTTAAATCAGCTAAAAGATGATTTTCTGTTCTTACTTATCATAGCATGATAATCAATAAAGTATCTTTTACTTCACAATTACCTGATACATTAATGTAATATTGGGATCAAAAGTTTATTAAACCAACGCTACAAGTTTTTAGCGATATTTGAAAATGCAACAGAAATCATATTAGACTAGCTAAAGATCAGTTAAGTCATGGCAGAAAGACTCTTACACAGATGTAGGAGCAGATTAGTCAGTTCTATGAAGCAGAGATCAAAACATGTGAATTGAACGTGAACATTTTAAATTTTTAGGATGCATATTCTTGTTTAAAGAGCTAAGAAATTTAAACTCGGAAGATAAAATTGCAGTCACTACGAACTTAAGACTGGTAGGAGTACACAAAACTTGCAAAGAGATCTGAAGTCTTCCCTAGATTCAACCTTCTACCAGTTTAAGACCTGTAATTTTTTCCATCTTTATTGATTCTTCCACAGGATAGTTAAAACATTGCTTCAACTAACTTAACATAAAAGAAGTCTCAAAATTGTGGTAGAACTGCCAACTCCTTGCTCATGTATTTTTAACTGATTGACTTCCCAAGCCTGGAATGTTCAGACTGGAGATAAACCATGCCTGCAGTAAAGGTGACCAGTGACATTACATATGAAGTGTCCAAAGAATTCTCATATTCTGTTTCCTCCTCCAGGAAGGTGAAAACTGGGAAAAATAACCATCTACTGCTTGATGTGGTTGCTGAAAACACGACACTACGGTCAAGATGCCTGCACTCCTCTCCTGATTCAACACACGATATTTAAAATAGTCTACAGGCAGTCTCTACCGGGATGAGAAGTATATCACTATTACTGAAATACTAATGTTTATCAGCTCCCTAAAGCAGAATCACACCACAACAGCAGCAATTTATTATTTCATATAGAAAAATAAAACCTTCTGGTTCTCTATTTCACCAGCACTTTCCAACAGAAACAATTATTTGATACAGGTCTCTTTCCTTTAGATTTAAGAAAGCAACTGTAACTTTAAAATATATCAAGTTTATAGGCTGTGTCTAAAAGCAGTTTATTTTGAATGAGTGATCTTTAAAAGCCCTGAAAATCCCAAGCTTGAAGAATCTCTTAAATTAAAAAGATGACACACAGATGAGTTCCATTTGAGCAATCGGTGCTGACACATTAATAATGAAATAAAATATGCTGAAGTATTTCAAACATTTTGCAGCTGCTACAACAGCACTATTACCTAATACAGATATATTTACCAATTTCCACATTTTCTAGTACAAGCAGTTAAAATCAAAATACTTCTTTTTATTTGCTTAATCATTAACTGGTAATCTAATGACTTTTCAAATATAAATCTGACAAGTGGTATTTGAATTGGTTTTTATTTCAAGTATTAGGATTATTCCTCAGCTGTAACTACGCTCAGTTGTCCTTTCTGCTCACCTAACCAGCCACGTAACAAGGTTCAGGCATCCTTGCAAAGGGAAACTGTCTCTCTCCCAGACCAAAAGTAGACCTTTGGGCTCTAGGAAGTTCAGATTTCCAAACCACAGAAAAGTTTTTAGCCTTTATAACTAAAGTATATTGTTATAAGGACCAGAATAAAACATTTAACTTGGCTGGATGCCCTTGTAAAACTTCAATAACCAACAAGTCTAATGTTTTTATTGTCACCCATAAACTTGCTTTAACCTCTTGCCATATGAATAAGGATATCCTTTTCCACTACCTCAGTGAAGCTACACACATTATCATAACAAAATTGGCTTCTGCATTAACTTAGTCCAAAACTGGTTTCTAATTTCAGAAAAATGATATTTGTATTGGGTAGGGGCTTTTCCCCCCCGAAGCATGCATATATTTTTGTATCTTGTTTTGTTATGCAAAATGAAAAAAAACTCTATTTGAAAACTGAATTAGAAATACATCTGCAATCATAGTCTATGAATATACAACATTTTTCATAATTGTAACACTGCACTGTTGGGGAATAAACTGACAGATGGAGACTCCAATGCATTCTACAGACCAGAACATATTAATGGATTCACATAATCTGAGAGAGGACACGTGTAGTAAAATAAATTATTCTATCTAATACTTAAATTACCCATTTCATTTTTGTTTAATATTAACTCTATACAGAAGTGTACCCGAAATCTTAATTGTCCCTATGTTGCTAAGTCTGCTCATTATGCTTTAGCATAGCTGTATAAAGAAGCACCTTAAATGGTTTGCCTGTCACATTTTGCGACATGATCTAGTTGCATATTTTCAAGTTATCTAGAGTTTTAACTTAAATTCTATAAATTATACAACGATGTTTAAAATGGATTCACTTATGAAAGACAGTATTAGATGATAATACAGGACTCAATAAAACTGAAAATTTTCTGTGCAAGAATAGCAATGGTACAAGTTAAAACCTTAATTAGGTTTTTAGTCTGAGCTTAAATCTTAACAAAGCTTAACTTGTAATTCCCATCTTACCCTAAACGCGTTCCTCTTCACATGGCCAACCAATCTTTGTACACAAGCAACAGCACAAGTAAATGATTCATGTGGATTAACCAGATTATTATTCATATACACACATGTGTGTATATATATAAATACATATTAATTTCCCCCAAAATCTCTGTATATGTCTAATACTATGTGCAATTTTTAAATAACTGTAGAAAATAAACTCTTCTTACTTTTTCAGCTGTTAACTGTTTTGATGGTTTTTCTGATTCTCTCTCTCTCTTTTTCTCTTCTTTCTTTTTTTCTTTTTCCTTCTGCAAAAAGAAAAAGCATTTTGCTAGTACCCAATTTGCAAACATATTGAATGTTTACAGCCATATAGAATATAAACAGATATCTTCAGTTATTCCTTTTTAAATCAGAGCTTATGCCTCTATCTGCTCTGCTTCCAGAAGTGAAGCTCACTTTGCTCAGATAGTAGTACTAAAAATACTGCAACTTTGAGAATTCAAGAAATGCACTATTTCACCTGGTCATCTGCATTTCTGCTTCTAAGCAGACTGGAAAAAAAAAAAACAGTGTTGCTTCTCCCGAACTGTGCAGAGTTGAAGAGAAAACCCATCTCTACAAGTACTTCCGTTCACTCTGATAACCTCTCTCATCAGGGCAGATGTCAGTTACTTGACCAAAGAACTACACACAGCTTTCTGCAGAAAGTTACTAATTTTTAAAAGCTAATCTAGGTGTCTTAAACAACACTTCTGAATGTAAAAAGTTGCCTTAGGCCCTATGACAGACCACCTGAGTCACAAGACATTAAGTTGTTCCAGAAAGTGAAAATATAAAAGATGCCTTCACTCTGAATGCATCATAATGACATTACAGAAGTTTCTTCATTTTGGTTTTAAATGAACAAATGGGCCAATATTACAGACTTAGTCTGATTGAATCAAAGCATAAAATATTCATTAAGGAATAACATGCAGAAAATATGCACTTTTTAGGCCAGCAATTGTTTTGACAAAGTGTTAGTAGTTTAGACCAGTAATCCGTCTGCATTTACCTTGTTCAACTACAGTGTAGTACTCCTGAGTATATTTGAACATTAAAATGGATTGACATAGTAACTCCTAAATGTTCTTTAGTCATTAGACTTGTATCCCTTTGTTCAAAGCTTTGAAACAGCTTTGTTTCACAAAACACTATTGTTTAGCAAGTTTCCTAACATTAGGAGGAAGGCTGAGAGGTTAGACAACTGTCCATGTAGCTCCAATATTAAAAATAAAATAACTTACTAGGTTATAGTTTGTGTCAATAAGGATTGTTTGTTTTTTTCTTTTTTTTTTAACATCCAGTATATATAATTTTCAAATCTTTATAACATGGCATTTATTTCATATAGTTCTAAAACACTAAGATGAATTGAGGTTTTTTTTTGCTGGGGGACCAGGCACAGAGTGACCCAAGTAACATATTCTTCACAACTTCCAATAATCAGTTTTCAAAACTTTCACCAAATTTACCAGATGGATTGAGGTTACTCAAGTTCCACTAAACCTTGTGAATTATTTCATCAGGCATTAACCTGAACACTCAGTTGCAGGAAAATCGGACTATCAGACCAAGCACCTGCTTACAAGCAACAGAAAGCAATGACCACAGTCATGAAACTGCAGCGGGGGAATTCAGAATGCCTGTTTTGACAAAAAGAAACAGAGACCAACTTAGATTTTAGTGAACATTAGGAACACAAAAATGAACATAGTATTCCAAAACAGAGTCCCTGTCTAAACTGTATCTCACCTGTGGCAGTGCAAGGTGTTCAAGAGAAGTCTGTATGACTGGGACAAGTATAGGGCAGTGCTTTATTTTGAGGTCACATAATAGCCTGCGACTTGTAGGCTTTTTGAACCAGGATTACAAATGCACAGCTATGTCTTTCAATGAAGCTTAGCCTTTCTTCCATTACTGTTTCACTGATCCTAGTACCAACCTGCATTCTAATATACATGCACATATACCGTCAGAGCAGTAACTTTTCCAAAAGTCTTTCATTGTCTGTCCTCACTTCCCACTCCAACCTTCACAAGTTGAATAATTTAAATAAATCTAATCTCTTCTCCTGTAGGAACCTTTCTACATTTTAGACAACTGCATCAAAAGATGTGTGATCAGCAGGTCAAGGAAGGTGATTCTATCCCTTGTACTCTGCTGTCTTAAGACCCTTCCTCTGGTATCCAGCTCTGGGGCCCCCAAAAATCAGAAAAACATGGATCTGCTGAAGCAAGTAGTCAAGAGAAGTGTCACTAAGATGACTGTGGGCTGGAATACCTCTCCTATAAAGATGAGCTGAGAGAGTTGGGGTTGTCCAGCCTGAAGAAGAAAACTCCAGGAACACCTTACAGTCCTATGGAACATAAAGGGTGGCTACAGGAAAGATAGGTAGGGACTCTCTACTGGGATAGGACAAAGGGGAACAGCTTTAAACTGAATTACAGTACGTTTAGTTTAGATATTAGAAAGAAATTCTTTCCTGTGAGGGTGGTGAGGCACTGGAACAAGCTGCCCAGAGAAATTGTGGATGCCCCATCCCTGGAAATGTTCAAGACCAGGTTGGATGGGTTATGAGCAATCTGGTCTAGTGGAAGGTGTCCCTGCCCAAGGCAGGGGGGTTGGAACTAGATGGCCTTTAAGGTCCCTTCCAAGCTAAACCATTCTATGATTTGTTTCCTTTCCTCCCGGGAAAGGGCATTGGAAGTGCCATGACAATACACTTACTTTGCTTGAATACGTTTTAGTGAAAGTAGAGTTTAAGTTTTTGCATACAATCATCTTCAGGATGTCCAGTTTGACTCCAATGTTTTTCTAAAATATGTTTTGTTAAAAAACCTTGCTTCTGGAGGAAAAAGTATCTGGAAACTTTTGATCTTCAGGACTTGAAGATCGAGGAGGGTTTGAAGAAAGTTTCATATGGTAAACACTCCATAAAGGTGACCAAATACAAATACATGCCTCTCCTTGCCCTTAACAAAACCCTGAAAGCTTCACGGTGAATACATGGAGACTTAAACTGTTCTACAGTGTTTCTGCCTCCACACCTCACAGAGCCCACAGGAACTCTCTTGATTCCCAGTGAGTTTATTTTTATTCATTTAATTTTCACCATGTACTTGAAAAAGAAAAAGTCCTTCATCTTCACGCTTCTCAACTTCAATATGCAAGCTTTCTGCCTCAGCTCCATTAGATAAAAATGAATTCAGACAAAATAAAAACATTTCTCAGATGCTGTATTGATGCCAGAACTTCAACTCAAGTGTTTCATTACTTGCAAAAGCAGTCAAAAAAGCACTGTGAATATAATAAAATGAAATTGGTTTCATATTGCTCTTAAATTCTAAGCAAAAATTATTCCGTTTTTTCCCAAGTTTCATTTCTATCAACATGGCATACTGATACACAGAGGAAGTTTCAAATGAGAACACATAAATAGAGGCGGGTAAGAAAGTGAAGGTAAGTTTCATTCCAAGTGGCTGCTGCTACTCCTGCTACAACAGAAAAAACACATCAAATTCAACGAGGCTTGTGGTCTAATCCATGACCCTGTCATTTAAACTTTAATTAATGTTTAAATAGAGCTGAACTAAAATAATTTATAATGTCGGTCCATATATTCTGTATTTAGAAGGAAAAAATGTGACAGGATCAGATCATAAATTATTTAATATTCTGTATAAAATCTCAATTTAGAGTGAAGCATCTGAAAGAGCATTCCCAGTTTAAAAAATATATTTCATTATTGTTGCAAATTGTGACAGTTACTGAAAGCTGACACAAATGATGCCTCATCTACTAATTGTGTGTTAAGTTTTTCAAAGGCCCTTCTAAACAGTTAATGTAACATCAGCATATATACATATCCCAGCTAGAAGTATGAGTCTAATTAATTCTACATTTATCTCCAAGGAGAACAAATTAAATGGCTGGAACAATACTGATAATTTAGATTCTGAAACAAGCAAGTAATACAAAAAAAAGATATCAAGAATTATGCCTGAGGAGACAGGACAATGTCACTCATACCCATTAGCTGGGAATGAAACGGTTTTTCCACAGTTTTGTGACACTAAACCAGAGCAGAAGAAAAATTTTGACACAGAAACATCAAGAGGTAACAATCACACATATGCTTTGTCCAGCTGTATCGGCTCTTTTCCTTTAGCTAGTCCAAGAAAAAAGGAGAGAAATATTTTAAATGTGTAAAGTATTACCAGCAATTCAAATTCTCAAGTTACCTCAGTGAAATTATCCTATAGAAATGTAAACATTTGTGCAAAGCAGTAACCTGATAAGAGTTACACCCAAACCAATATACCTCTGCTTTGCTCTTCTCAGCAGCAGCTTGCAGAGAAGGAGAGGATGCCAAAGGCTGAGCAGCATCAGATGATGATATCTGTACAAAACAGAGGAAAGAAATGAGAAAGAAAATAAGCAAGAACAGCTGGGAAGTGAGGGAGCAGAGGTGGCTAAGAGACATGATTTTCATTCCTTTTCTTTCAATAATTTTGGTGGTGGTGATTACACAACATAGAAGAAACATAAATAGGAGACAAAATATTTGATCCTTTTTTTCTGAGTACAAGATTTAAAGGAAATCTTTCAGGCAGGAAAGTGTGACATATAATGAAACTCACCAGAACAGAATATAAGCAAATGAATGTGGATAAGATCATATCACAGGCCTAAGAAAAATAATTAGGTTTCATCCATTGTTCAATTTTTATCCAGTGTAACTACTGAAATATTAATGTCCTGAAGCATGAAGGCACACTGTCCCAGAGGAGGGGGAGAGAAGAAAGTGCCTTTGTTCTTGTTCAATGTAACAGAATACTTTTATTAAGAGGAATGCAAAATAACTCTGGAAGTTATACATTAATTAAAGTTCTAATTAATTCTTCTCTAAGAGCACTCCAAGTACTTAAAGAGCTTAGGGTTAATATAAAGCTGCATCTTAACAGTGGGTTGACAGACCTCCCAGACAAGTCATACTTCTTTTCTAGGAATTGGTATGTAAAATTGGTATTAATACCACTAGACTTCCAGAATTATCCAAATAGTGGAAGTTATATATGCTCAAGAAAACAGGATTTCTCTAAATGTATTTTCATACATCTTCCTATCCTATTTCTCTATGCATAGTTGATCACTTTAATGGAAACATTATCTTTCTATTGCCTTATTATAAAAATGCAACTGAAATAAATTTTCCAAACATGTAGAAGATCTTCAGAGCTATAAAGCTGACACTTCTAGATTGCCTTGTATCACCTCCACTATACAGAAGGAAAATTTAGAAATAAATAAAGCTGTTACAGATCAGGTCATTATGTTGGGCCAAAATAACCAATTTAGATGACATGTTTTTACTCAGCCTAAAAAAACTAGCTTGCGCTAAATGGAAACTGAAAGCTGATAAAAAACCCCTCTCTACCTTCATGCCTAAACACCCTTTAATTCTTACAGAAAATCCTACCAGTACCTTGGCTTATATAGCTGGAATATTCATAGAATATATATATTTATTATTTTTACAAACTCAGAAACTTCGCCTATGCTGGAAGGTGGTGTAGAGCTTTAGGTAAGATATTTATAAGATTTAATTTTAAAACCAAATTTTACCTGCAGAAATATGAAACAGAATCCTCATTTCTAAATTTACTGTTTTAAAATCCTCAGGTTATTAGCAGAGTTATGGATATATTTGCTGCAGTGAAGCAGTTTCTCAAATGGTAGCATTCTGTTGCTATAGGAACATTGGGATCTTGTTTATTCAGACTGCACCACATTGTAAAAAAAATAATGTCAGAAAAATGATAAGGTAACTATATAAGACACTGAACTATGGATTCTAACATCATGCTCCTTACTAAGATCTCAATGAAATGCAAATATGTGAAATTCTGATAATGAAACATCTTAGGTATACTTTCAAGTTGCTAAAGTGTGATTCTTGGTTTGGGTTTGCAGTGTCTTTCATTCTGTTGTATGCTTCAGATTTTAGAATTTAAGCTTGATAGCTCTCACAGGTGAACGGCAGGTAACAGCTACTCATTACACAGAACCAGGTAAGCAGAATTTCATTTGGGGGTTAGGGGAAAAATGAGCATTATAGATGTTTGCATCAATTTCCATCCTCCCATAATAGTTCTTCTCAATCTGCATACCATCTTCATAAATTAAGGGGTTATCTAACCTAGGAGAAGGTAATCCTATGAAGGGCTGAAAGCAATTATTATAGTTTTGATAATCAAGTAGAGAATCATAGAACCAATAGAAAGGTGTCATGCAAGCTATAAGCAGAAGATAGAGTGAAATGCAGTCGCTATCTAGCATGGGATATATAACAGGATGCACAAGTTGAGAGATGCCCAAGCGTAATGTTTAAAGACAACCAGCAGCACTACAACCACTTCAGGCAAAAAAGGAGAACTTGAAAGCACACTTCACATATGCAAATATTCAACTAAGCAAGAATACAAAAGGCATACAACTGCAGCTAATCTTTAAGAGAAGACACATTACAATGTATAAAGAACTGATTAAGTTTATATAATGAAAGCAACAGCACGAGGTTGGGCTGCTGAACAGCTTTATCACCACTGCATCATGTTAAATTTGTTATCTACCATGCTGCGCTAGATAAGGAAAGCTGAATGAAAAAATCCAATCAAACTGAGCGGCCAGACAAAGCTAAACATGTGAACATTGTCTACCTAGAATTTTGTAAAAACTTTTACACCATTTCCCAGAGCATTCTCCTGGAGAAACCAGCTGCTCACGACTTGGACAGGTGCACTGTTCGCTGGATAAAAACTGGCTGCATGGCCGGGCAGAATGCTGCTGCATCCAGCTGGTGGTTGGTCACTAGTGGGGTTCCCCAGTATTGGAGCCAGTCCTGTTTAATATCTTTATCCATGATCTGGATGAGAAGACTGAGTGCAGCCCTAGTCAGTCTGCAGATGACACCAAGTTGGGTGGGAGTGTTGATCTGCTGGAGGGGAGGAAGGCTCTGAAGAGAGATCTGACAGGCTGGATCCATAGGCCAAGGCCAATTGAGTAAGATTCAACAAGGTGAAGTGCCAGGTCCTGAACTTGGGTCTTTTGGGAAAGAGCAGCTGGAAATGTGCCTGGGGAAAAAGGATCTGGGGGTGCTGGCTGACAGCCATCTAAATATCTACATCAAAATCCAAGACAATTTCCAGGTATACTTCAAATTCAAGTATAAAAGTACACGCTGATCTACTCTGATAACATGTTTGCACTATGCTCTGGAAAGTTGTCAACTAAGACATTCTTGATTATCGACACTTTAAAGTACCAGACAAAACCAATGGTGACCCCTGCAACCAATCACACATACTACTAGAAAAAGAATAATGGTGATGTGCTTGTGTGCATTATGAACGTACTGCAGAATGACAACTAGCATTCAAATATATAATTTTGATTTTTAACTTAAGAGTAGTTGGGTTTTTGATTAAGAAGTTAATTCAGGATTGCCTAAAATGGAGAATGAAAGCAAGGAGCTGTTTCTTAAGTTTCCATATTTCTTGTATGTTCACAAAATTTCTACTGCACTTCAGACCAGAAGACTTGCAGTCATTTAATTTTTAGCAATTCTTGAATCTCTTTCCATTGTGTGCATCTTGGGACTCCTTTTTAGAAAGACAATACAGCAAAAATAGCCACTTTGCATAATAAAGCTCAATACTGTCTTTAATGAATGCATTATCAAACCATCCAGAAAGTTTGCAGTTGAAACAAATACAAAGGTGCCCTCGAGTGGCCAGTTTATACACACACAGTATGCAGGGAAATAACCTAAACAAAGAGGACTACTCTGCTTTCATTTGGCAGGCTTTAAGTTCAGCTTCAACATATGTTTTTCTTCTTTTAGCAGACTTCTGACTTTATTACTATACATCTCCAATGAATGTTGACAACAGTAAAATCAGCAATTTATCTTAAAGCAGTAGCAATTACAGACTGCTATTAGATGCACATAAACACAGAACCAATTGCTTGATATTTTTAAAGAGGTTTATTCTTGAAATACTGAAAGGAGTATAAGAATAGTAACGTACTATCAATAACACTTACCTACAAACTTTAGGCTTCTGGTAAGGTTCTAAAGTTCTTTAGGCTAACTGGTAAGGCTTTTTTAAAAATTACTAAAATGTCTCCCTGTGCTGGTTTTGCTTGGGGTAGAATTAATTTTCTTCACAGTGGTTCGTATGGGGCTATGTTTTGGATTTGTGCTGAACACAGGGTTGATAATAAAGAGATGTTTTTGTTATTGCTGAGCAGTGCTTACAAGGAACCAAGGCCTTTTCTGCTTTTCATACTGCCACACTGGCAAGGAAGCTGGGGGTGCATGGGAGGTTGGGCAGAGACACAGCCAGTGACCCAAACTGACCAAGAGGATATGCCATACCATATCACATCACGCCCAGTATATAAAGTGGGGTTCGAGGGGGACACATTCAGAGTGATGGTGTTTGTCTTCCCAAGTCACTGTTACGTGTGATAGGGCCCTGCTCTCCTGGAGATGGCTGAATACCTGTCTGCCCATGGGAAGCAGTGAATTAATTCCTTGTTTTGCTTTGCTTGTGTGCACAGTTTTGCTTTCCCTACAACCTGAGTCTTTATCTCAACCCCTGAGTTTTCCAGCTTTTACCCTTCCAATTCTCTTCCCAATCCCACTGGTAGGGGAGTGAGCAAGCAGCTGCCTGGGGCTTGGTTGCCAGCTGAAGTAAAACCACAACACTCCCTCGTTCAGTGCTTTAATGCTTGACACCCCATAAAAAGGTTCAAAGTCCCATGTTTTACAAAACAGAGCTGTAGTTGGCCTTTCAAAGAAGCCAGTACTGCTCTTCCATCAATATTATGAACACACTTGCCACTCCTCAATCCCTTCAGAGTGATTGTACCTTGTCACAGGAATAGGGTGAAGTTTAGGCATAGGTTGAATATGTGCAGAGCTACAGACATTCACAAAATTTACATCAAACAGAGATGTAATTATGCACCGTTCTGGCAAATATAGATATATTTAATAGATTTGAGTACAAAATATTTTTTCCAACTCTAAACAAGAACATCTGCACCTACTGTTGCCCACTTTTTTTTTAGATTATTTAGCTTTTCCTTTAGATATTAGAGAGAGTTACCATGGCTTCATTAAAGGTTGGTACTGGATAAACAAAACAGATGCTTTTAATCTCTTATTGAAGCTCCTTCCACTTCCCCTGTCCAGCCTAACCAATGTTTTCAGTATAATAACTGCATGCACCAGTATGGTTCAGTATCAAGTGGTTGGAAAGCAGATTTCAGAAGAGGACCTTGTGGTCCTGGTGGATAAGTTGGGCATGAGCCAGCATCACGGACTCACAAGTACAAGAGAGACGTGGGCACACTGAAGCAAGTCCAGCAAAGGCACCATAAGATGTTTAAAGGACCAGAGCACCTTTCAGACAAGGAAAGGCATAGTGAGTTCAGGTTGTTTAGCCTGGAGGAGAGAAAGCTGGAAGGGCAGGGAGAGGGTAAGGAGCAAAGACTAAGGCAGACAGACTGCTGCCTGTGGTATCCAGGAACAGGACCAAGAGGCACTGAACATAAACTGAAATACAAGAAACTCCACTGAAACATAAGAATAAATTGACTCATTTGTTTTTAGTGTGGAGGTGGTTGAATACTGGAACAGGTTGTCCATTTCAGGTCCATTCCAGCCCATGCTATTCAGCAATTCCATAATTCAACCCGTTCTAACAGAATGATCTTGAAAATAATTTATCCCCCTTTCACTATCCCTGCTTCAAGTCATAATTCTTGTATAGTATTTCAGTGCTTCCTACTGATGCCTATCTTGATTAACATATTTTAAAAATACTTCATATCACTTAATTCATAGATTTTTCACAGACCACTGAAAAACCCGCTAGGGTTGCTGCAATACTGGGAGGGGTAACTGGTAACCTCTCTCCATGACAATGACGGAATGCTTCGGAATGATAGCTATTACAAACTTACTGTTCATGTACCCTGTCATATCCCAGTTTATCCATCTTAAGGTGCCTACATAACATAGTACTTAGTGCAGTAAATGTGTTACAGATTTAATCTCCTTTAAGATAACTTTCTGGAAGGTGTGCCATCACAATCTCTTAATGAACATCACATTTTAGCCAGTTGCCTAAGTTCATACTTGTTAAATTATACACAATGTCTTAGAAAAATGTGGAAAATGTTCCTGCAGTGAACTTAAGCCATAGAAAACATCTGCTTCATACAAAATTCACACGCTTTCTTAAATACAGAAACTTTGTTTAGTATTCTAAAACATTGTCAGGACGTGATAATATATTCCCACTTCATGTAGTAGAATAGATTGTAGCAGTTCATAATTTTTGAGACTGAAAGTATCTGGAATCTACTTAGTTGATTCACCATCCACGCTGAATAAGGCAATTTCCATATGCATTCCCCTATATACTTTTTTGTATTAAAAGCTGTAGAGATTGTTTGTGATGATACCTGCATCTGCACTTGGGCAGCATTACAGAACTTTGATTTCACATTTTTCCAAAAATGATGGGCCAGAGAACTCTGAAATCTATACATTTTAATAGATTTTAAATATTTTTTAAAGTCAAGCTACTTTTAGTCAGCATTATTCTAATCTATATTTGATTTTTACTTAATTGCATTATTCTATTTAAAATGTAACTAGTCAATAAAACCACAGGTGTTTTTTTTCCCCATAGCTTTATTCTGCATTGCTTTTCAGTGAACCACAAGAAAAAGAATTTAATTTTTCATATTTGCATATTTTTTATCTGCATGTTTGATGGCACTACTGGTTTCTGCTCTAGCTAATTTTGTTATTGTAGTGTGCAATTCTAAAAACCAAATTTAGTAATACAACAGTCTTGTCAGAAAACAAAACATCTCATATAATTAAGAATTAGAAATAAAAAATTTGTAACAAAAGATACATGAATTCTGACAACCAAAAACTGAACCTTCACATATACTCCTGGGCTCCAACAGACGGAATACATTAGCAGAGATGTACTGTTAGACAAACCTGAAAAGCTTTTGAACTCGATAACATTAACCTAAGAGAAATATCGTACTGCATGCTTTAAGATTATCAAAACAACTTTTATGCTACAGGAAGCTTTCACCACCATGAACTTGTAACAGTGGATGAGATCTGGGAAAGCCCCTTAAATTTTTAAATACCACTTCAGTGAAATTACCACGTTAAGGAAAGTGATCCTTAGGGCATAGCAGCCTGTTTCTGCACTTCTGTATTATCTGCTTATACCCAGAAGAGATTCATTTTACCAAATTACAATATACATATGCATCTCCAACTTAAATTGGTCCTAATCCAAGCAGAAAGTATTTCTGTTTCAAAGGTGATAATGAAAAGGGTCCTAAAAAGCTCACGTCACCCCAACAATGCTAATTTTGATTAAAAATAGGCACAAGGTGCTCTCTGCAAAAGTAAGTCAAGAAATCTTCCAGAAGAGCTTGCCCTGGTGTAGCACTGACACCCCATTAGAACAGTTCACAAGAACTGTTTTCGCTTACTGTTACTCCTGAAAGTATTGTATTAGCGAGTGCTTTGATGCTACCAAAACACTTTGGCGGGGGGAACTGAAGGCTACAAGTAGGAAAATCCCCTTTTCTCCACAGTTGCCCCTCAGTTCCCAGGGAATTTTAGCCACCTTCTGGTAGGGCAGGAAGAGAGAAGGTGTCTCAGATGTTATCAGGACTGCAAAATAAAGTTTTAGAAACTGTCACAACACCCTGCAAAGGGGCATGGAAACATGTACTCCATAGAACTCCCTTCTTCACTCCATTCTTCTCAAACTTCCCACAGACCTCTCTATGTGCTGGAAGCGTCATCTTCCCTGACAACAGTATCCAGAGGAGAAAAGGTCAGTAGGAGACAGGTAGAATGCAGGTTCAGCTTCACCATTTCTTCCTCTTCCTTGTCAGGGAAAGATGATCACTGAATACAATACCAGTCACAGCACTACACAAGCCTGTGAGCTGGGTCAGGGCCAACAAATGTAACCCAATATAAGCACCAGACGACGACTGTAGGTGCTACTGTACTCTTAGGATCTCAGCATAACTGTGATTTCAGACTGCCCAGGTCAAACCTGATCACAGAATTATAGAATCACAGAATCAGTTGGGTTGGAAGGGACCTCCGAGATCATCAAGTCCAACCCTTGATCCAACACTGCCATGGTTACTAGACCATGGCACTAAGTGCCACATCCAGTCTTATCTTAAAAACCTCCAGGGATGGAGAATCCATTACCTCCCTGGGCAGCCCATTCCAATGCCTGATGTTTGGCGGCCTTGAAGAAATGCAGGTGACTGTGAATATGCATGAGTCATCTATTGCTAAAATATTTCATAATCGGACTTTGTTCCTATCCAAAAGAGATTATGTCATTTACATTAGTCAGTGAAAGAAAAACCCAAGTAGGAAGCAAGTACTCAGCAGAAACATCCATCTCTTCAGCTTGTCTGGATTCTATCCTTGCTGCTATGACAGAGATTCATATTAGACTGCAACACGATAAAGCAAAATCTGATTACTCATTCGAACATATTAAGGCAGCAGTGAACTACTAAATTAGACACTAAAATTCTCTGTTTAGAAATATCTTTGGAGTCTTTTGAACTTTGTAAAGAAGTACAATTTTAAATTATTCTTCCTATTTTCTACTTTGGAATAAAAGTAAAGAAGGGTAGCTGACAGTGTAATTCAAATCCCAATCGTATTTTACCTTTTAAGTGAAGCAATTTTCCCCCATTTCAACAATGCTTAATGAAATACACTTCTGCAGTTCCCAGGTTTGCTTTTTTTTTTCCCTTCTAAAATGAAACCATCATTCAATGATCCACTTTCTCAGATGAGAAAGGCAGCATATACTCTCACTCTTTACGCCCACACCTATACTTGCTTCACTGTCCAAGTTCACCGCCTAGTAAGATGGAGAAGTAAGCTACATGTTAGGCCATACTTACATTATCTGGGTATAGTTGTATTATGTTCATGCATAATATTTCAGCATAAATACAAATATATAAACAAAAATGTATTAACTAGATTGTATGTCACAGAAATAGATGTATCAAAAAACAAACAATCAAAAACTAACAAGCCTGTGAACTTCAGCCAAGGTAGACATTGTCAAAACTGCTTTGCCAGAAAAGCCCTCACCAACTTACTGCAGCGAACACACAACTACCTGATTAAACAGCTGGTTCACCATATTGCCTGTGTGCTACTACAGTGCACCTCACTGCAAGCAACAGTCTGGAAGTCAGCAGAAGAGGGGCTCAAAACACACTAGGATTTCTCATAAGGGTATTACAGAGAATGAGGCAAAACAATGTCACCAGGAAGAGTCATACTGTTTTATCCCCATAACATGGAAAAATATATTTAGAAAGGACTCAAAGTATACTGCTAAAGAACTACTCATCACTGAAAGAGGAAAACAGAATATAAAGAGTCGTAAGCAAGCTACTTATTAGATCATAACACTCTGCTGTTATGAATGTAATAGACAATGTTTGACAAACTTACAGAACCTAGGAATAACCTTCAAGAGATACAGAGGAAAGCAGTTAGCTCTGTCTCAAAAAGTTTTGACTCTAAAAGACAACATACATAACGTTTCCTACATTTCTCTTACGTAGCTTTCAAAAAAATAAGTGACAGAATTCTCAGTGAAACTGTTTACTTACATTGAAGGCATTGACTGCATTTTTATCATAATACTTCTTCTTTTCATACTTATCCCTGATGAAAAACTCCACAGCTCTGGAAGTAGCTAGTTTAAGGAAAATACGCATTCAGATAAATAGTAACATTAACCTAAAAAGCTCATGGTTATTCAAATTCAAAAACTGCACTAGATTCTTGCATCTCATTTTGTAGTTTTAAAACAGCAGAACAAATCACTCTACACAGAACAATTGCTATTGCAGTGTCCAAAATGAACTTCTTTTTACTACAGGGAATTAATCAGTTTAATCTTTTAAGAAACCAATATGTAATATAACTCAGTGTTCCACAGTTAGGACATTTTCACCTGGTATTTATAATCTACCTGGCTGTAGTACTAAAAATACTAGAACAACAGTATTTATATATGGTAAATAATTGTAGTTTACCATCTTAACTTGGGAAAAATACTTTCTCTTCAGAGAAAAAAAAAGGTGAAACGTATGTATCTGTTCTCTGATTTGCACAAGTTACACCATGTATCAAAAGCTTGTACTAAACAGCTCTCCCATATCCAAAAGTCCTCCTTGAGAGTCTCCTGTTACAACAAACATCCCTGTGGAAGGCAAAACTAAAACACTAGTGATAAAAAGATATTGAAGCAAAGATGGCAACAGCAGCAAGCATATTGATATAGAAAACCAGAACTAGCAACTCAGTAGCTCAAATACAAAAAGGAAAAGTAGTTTTTCCTCAATTATTCTCTCAGCTTCATAAAAGCAGCTCATCCAAAGCAGTGTAAACACTTTAACTTTAGTAAAGCTGATTCTTTGGTATCTGTAGAATAAATTTTAATTAATTTGTCCAGCAATGGGATTATCCATTCAAAAATTGTAATTGCAACTGTGGAAGCTCAGACTCATTGCCTCTTAAACTTCCAAAGCAATTTGGAAAGACACTTTAGCTCCACATACTACATTCTAAGATTAACACTGAGCTCGGTCCCTTCACTCTGTGCACCAAATTATTTTGTCAAAAATCACATCTGGTTTCAAACAGTATGCAAGTATCACCTGAAGACACTGTTTCATAAAAGTTACAAACCCCAAAACATTCTTTTCTACCTCTTTCCAAATATATCTAAATTCTAAAGGGTATCTTGAGCACTTTGAATATACAACTATCTTAGTACTAATACTGCATTATCCTTTATACTGTCATTTTGAAAAAAAAAAAATCAACGTATATTATTAAATCACAGATGAATGGAAGTTGTGTAATATGCACCTCCCACAACTTTACAGATGTAGTTAATTCTTAATGGGGTTCCCTCAAAAAGTTTATTTCCAAATTGCAGTGCAAATTATTGGATTATATTAACTCAGTGGGAGGAGAAGATAGAGAAAGGGACTTTAATTTTTTTCCCATGCTTTTGGGTTGCAACTGGATAACTGTACTAAAATATAACTAGTACAGAAGAGAAATGATTCAAAACTTGACTGTTATAAAATACCCTTGAACAAACTAATCTTTCTTCAAATAAAACATCTTAGCTATTTGCCACAATTAACATTTTCAGACACCACATTCAGATTGTCGAGTGTTCTAAGTTTTGGTTGCACAGACTTTAGGCTTAGATATTTTAGGTCTTTTGCATAAGTATTTCTGTATTTTTAGTAGTTGCCCAGAATGCACACTTGATATTTCAGACAATTAGAAAGGTTTAATTTAAAAATTATTAACATTGAATCATAAGTATTTAAATTTCATGGGGCTTATTTTTGAAAAAATATCCACCTTATTCAAGTTACCCCTTCAATATGCATGAATTTTTGGACCATGCCTAAGTTTCTTTAGATCAATAACCTACTGTGTTCTGGCTAACAAAAGAATTTTAAGCAACCTCGACAGATGCCAAAACTTAAGAATTGAGTAAAATGAAGAGACAAAAAAAATATTCACTCTATTCTTGGAAGAAAACATTTTCCAACAGGAAACTAAAGCTGCCATAGAAAAAACCATCACAATGATGCTCAAAGTTAGCTTCTACACTACAGCATCCCTGCCAAGTACAATGGAAGAAAAAAAAAATACTTTAAAAGGTCAGTCTTGTGATTAAGAAGCAGATGTGATCAGGGATCTTTAGCAAAAGATTTTGTGCAGATGCCACATACACATTTCTCCTGTGTGTTCACTTTACTACCTAAAAAAATATAAGTATATTATAGTGCTACAGGAATTTACACACTAATACAGATGAATATATACAAAACTGATCATTACATGCAAAACATTTTCATAGTTCATCCAAAAGAACATTCAGAACATGAGAATATTCATAATCAGAACACTGGTGATATACAAAGCTAATTTTGTAGTGATACAAAGAGCAAAGAGGAAGGACAAAAACCACCCATACCACAACAGCTTGTCATGAATGCAAAGTAGGTAAGTAGATGCCAAGTTATGGGGAAATTGAGAAACAAAATAGAAAATGTTGGCATCACCTGTCCTGGTACTGCAGTTTTAATAAAGAAAACACAAGCAATGAAATATATTCAGTTGACTAAGTCCACCACTCAGAAGCTGACAACTGTTCAAAAGGGTACATAATTAAGTATACAGTGTGAACAAAGGAATTTTGCTCCTACTTCTGAAAGTCTAAAAATTAGACTTTGGGCTTGATCTGACAAGAAAAGCTTAGAGTAAAGCATTATTACTTCTCATGCAATAGCACCAGTGAATTCAAGTTAGCTGCAGTAAGAATAAAATATACATCTTCAAGATCCATTTTTGAGTACGTTTTAGTCAAAGTATTTCAGTCCTATGGCTGAAATAAAGTTCTAGAATATTACAGCTAGAATACTACAGTGCTATCTGGTTCCAGTTACTTTTTCTTATGGGGATGTATGTTTAATTCAAAAGCTACTAGAATATGAAAAAATGCATCTGTTTTGCTCAAGTGCATTTTATAAAAAGTAGTCTAACCCTTCAAAAAAAAAAAATCTTCCAGCATAGCATATCGAGCATAGAATCTAACAAACAGAAGAACCAAAATCACTTTTGGACATCGGAGAATATTCAGATCCAGTTACAATTAAGTCTGTTTATCAGCACCTGTAGCCTGTATCAGTATCAGGAAAAGAGAGTTGGGTAAAGATTCAGCTCACTCAACACTAGGTGTTTAGGATCTCATTACAGCTAAAGAGTTCCAGGAAGATCAGGTGAAGCAAATCCTACTGATGAAGTAACTTCACTAAATCAAGAAAAATACAAATCTAAGGTAATACCACTATATATTACCCTAGTGATTCAGTAAATTAAAAAAAAACGTATTTTTTTGAGAAAATTTATTTATTGTCAGTAGATAGTTTTTCTTCCAACCCTTTCCTTCCAGGTACATAGTGACAACCATGTCCAAACACAAGGGGTGGCCATCAGAGAGGTTAGGTGTTTTTTATGTACTCCCATGCTAGTCACCCAGAGAAAGAAATCCATACCTCACTTAAGTAAGATCCAATGGCTTATTTACTTTACCATTCAGCTCATTATTTCCTGATCAAATGCTTCTAACTTCAGCTGACACTTACTCAAGAAAGATAGACTATTCAAGAACTCTCTAGCATCACTCTACCTTCTACATACAGGGAATTTATGAAGTCACCTCTACAGAAAGCAAAAATAAATGGGGCTTGCCAAATCTCATTACAAAGTAGATTTGCAATAACTGAAGTAATTTAAACCTTTTCTGAACTGTTCTCAACTTCCACTCTCATTTCTTATACAACAATATCAATGAAATAAATAAGATGAGCTGTCAAATGTAGCAGTTCCTTGAAACAGTCATAACATCTAAATTGCATTAAAAGTCATTTCAGTGTGAAAGTCGGAACAAAAAGGATACTGATCTGTTTGAGGTCTTCGGAAGTTCTCTGGCAGATTAGCTTCATAGAGTAGTCTTGCTTTAGTATTTCCCATTTCCTGCATGCACTAAGGAAAAGCGGTAGAAAACAGTTAGTTGATGTCCATCAATACTTTAAATCCAGAAACAGTCAGAATGCTATTGGTGTGCTTAAATGACACTACAAGCTTTTAACTTGGAGATCTCTCTGTTGCCATACACCTTGGGAGATGCTACCATGGCACAGGAGGGCTGCCTGTCAAGACTTGCTGGACGAAAGCAAAAAACACTGATGCTGTTTACAGCATAAACTAACCCATCCTGGGAAAGACAGGCTTTCATCTCTCAAGATGGCTCTTCAGACCAGGAAGAAAGGAGTAAGAAAACTTGTCTGATGGTAAAAAAAGGCTTCAGACTGGAGAACGCCTAGAGAAGTCAGTGCTTGGTACACCAAAACAACATAACCAGGAATGATGCAGATGTGTGAATGCTGCCTTACTGTCAACTACTGAAAAGGTTTACAATACATTTTCTACAGATACAACAAAGAAATAGCTTCCTGAGTCCCTGTGGGAAGGTAGAATACCAATTTCTGAAGTGTTTGGAACCTAAAGTCATTACAGTAGAAATATAACACGTTAAGAACTACTGTGTTTACAAAACATTTAAGTTGGGCATGATGATAAATGCAAATCCTTTCAAAAGTACGCCTGGCATCCCTGCCAAATTGGAAACATATTTAAGATATTTTACCTGTATTTGTTCTGGTGTCCATTGATCCAAGTTGACAGACTTGACCCTTGATATATGGACCCCAAGATTTCGATGTATTCCCGCACATCTGATGCAAATAAAAACACCAGTGTTCCAAGAGGCCCATCTTGGACCTAAGAGGAATGGGGAAATAAATCAGTTATTTTCAAAATTCCATATACTGTGGAGATTTTCTTTGGCAAAATTCCATACTGACAATCTGAATCAACAAGTTTGAATAAAGGCTCATAGCAGTGTCTCTAGGATATGTATTACTTTAAACAATCTCTGCTGTTAACAATTTTATTCACAGATTTCTACTTCTAAATAATGTCACAGAACATTA